TGGTGGGAAGGAGGAATAAAAATTTTATGGGTTATTTGGAATCGAGAGTAGAGGGAATGGAAATAAAATTTTATTTTCATTATTATATTTATTTTGATTAAAAAAAATTAAAATGAAAATTTAAACAACTTTATTTTCACATATGATATGAGAATAAAAACAACAAATATAAATATTTTTTTAAAAAAATAATAATATATTTTATTTATTTATTATTCGTTAATTATTTTTTACTATCATCAATAATTATCATCACCATTATCGTTAATATTGTCATCATTATTAGAACCACCGTTGTCATAACCACCGTCTTTGTTGTCGCCGCAACCACTACTACAATCACCACCATCATTATTTTTATTATTTTTATAACCGTTATGTTTGATAAAATTATTTTCCAATCATTATTTTTATAAGTATAAAAAACTGGATATAAAAAAATTTAAATTACATTCAGATTCCTCGTTAGTATTCCAAACATAATATAAAAATACAAATATTATTTCGATTTCTTAATTTTTATTTTAATTTTTGCATTCTCATTTCTATTATTTTATTTCTGATTACAAAAGGTGCTTAATGATCGTTTAATTAGAGACGATTAACGGACCATGATGAGAAAAAATAAAAATTACTAGAGACGATCGATGGATAGATGGGAGATTGTCTTGTGTAGGGCCGTTCTTGGGACGAGATCGATAGCCAAATCTATTTCATTGGACCATCTCATCTGAATTTATGTGGATCCCACTCTTTCCTTGTACTGATCTTCTGAAATAAATTATAAATTAATTTCATTATTTTTACAAAATAAATTAAATAATTCATCTGTTTTAAAAATTAATTTTTTATTTATTTAATCATGCTTAATTTAATATTAATTCTATCTAAAAAAAATGTTTTTTCCTCAACAAACTTTTCATAATATTTATTTATTTTTTTATCTTTTCTATTTCTTAAAACAAAGCAAAAAAAATTAAAAAAAAATGAAAAAGATTAATTATTTCGTTTATAAAATTAAATAAATTATTTAATTCATTTTCCAAATCTATAAAAAACTAATTTATAATTTACTATGATCCTCTTTTGTCTCTCTATTAAAAAAAAAAAAAAAAAAAAATCTTCTATCCCTCCCTTTGAATATCTATATCCCAGTCAACAAATACAAATACCAGTCCAATGGATTTGGTCTTTCTCTATCTTTGTTAAGTTTTTCAAATTATGTAAAGCAAATTTTATCGCAATTAATGATACAATAACGTATTAATTAATAAATCATCAATTACCAAGTGTCATATTATTTAATAACAAAGTCTTAGTAAAGATTTACAAGTATCTTTAATACTACTCAAAAATATTAGAAGTAAAATTCGTGTGAATCGATAGATATGATAACAATTTTATTCCTTTAACTTCGTAATGAAATGTTAACAAAGAAAATCATTCTACACGATTTTCACTGTTGCATGAAAGATTCGACGCTAACCCTAACTGGACAATTCAACGACGCTGAGTGGTAAAATCTAACCAATTGGACGCGTAGAAGAAAGAAAAGAAATTATGTCCCAGCGTGATTAAATTTTTTTAAATAAATTGCCCCTTGTCTTTTTGCAATTGATCCAAACAAAACCATGGTATCCCACGAATAAGAACTTGTTTTTTTCTAGGTTGCCACGTGATTAATGAGCTTCTCAGCTCAATCGTGCTGGAGCATCCAAGTGCTCCTCATGAATTCTTGTAATCTCTGCTAACAATAATATGATAAAATTATCATCAGCAAATCAATCTGGAAAATTCTATGACTTTTGATGATTTTTTTTAGTACTTCTAATAGAACCCACGACTTACACATGACATTAAAAAGAAAAAAAAGTATATTATTCAATTTACTATTTACCTACCTTCAATTTACTATTCAACATTATTTACTTAGCATTATTATATTCATTGGCATTGTTGTATTTTTACCTTTGTTTAAGATATGATATTTTTGTAATTTTTAACACCTATTTGATGTGTAAGTTTTGACTAATATTATATTTTGATCTTTAATTTCTTTTAAATATTTGTTTTGATTTTTAATTTTATTTATATTGTGATTTAATTTTTAAATACAAAGAGAGAGAGAAAATGAAAAACTCACAATAAAGACCATTTTAATTATCAATCTTTGTTTTAATTTGTTCAGATTAACAAGTAGAATTCATTTATGATGGTTTTAATATATATATATATATATATAGTCAGAGAAAAGAGATCGAGATTGTAAATTTTTTTGGAAATTTTGAATTCGGTTTGGATTTTTGAATTTTTTAGGCATATTAGAATGATTTTCTGATAAGATTTTTTGTGATCTTACCTTCATTAGAAATTGCAGTCGCCCAAAACGTCGTCTGCTATTTCACTTTTTTAAAGGGTGGCTCGTGCGTGTCCAGCTCATGCACGCGTGGCCTTGATTCTCCAAGCCAAAGGTGCATGTAACCCCGACTTTTTTTTTTTTTTTTTTTGAGTCATTCTTTTATTTGATTTTGTGCTTAAATTTTGGAAAACTCGTCATTATTTTTTGAATTTTCCACAACTTAATGAGAAAAATGATATTTTTTTTGATGTTTTAGACTTAACGTATATTTTAAATTATATTATTTTTATTATTTAAAATTTTTTACTTTCAGCTTGCCATTTCTCATGTAAATTATCATCCAATTAGTTTTTCTTTTTCTTCTTATTTAATTTAATGTATTTATAAATATGATTTATTTTTCCTCAGCGTCTGAATTTGGAAATAAATTTTTATGAATATAATTATTTTATTATAAAAAAATTAAAAAATATAATTTATACGATGAATTTTTGTAATTTTTAAATGACATTATCATGATTCTAAATATATATATGTAATCCAAAAACTAAAATTGTATTGCACAAATTTTTTCTTGAGATTTTTGAAAAAATAATTTTATAAACAATTAATTGATAATTAGAAGTAAGATGTGAAAACAAAAATGAAGCTATTGGTATAAGTGTGAGGCCAGTGCACAGCGACTGAGTATGAATGGTTTATAAACAAAAACATAAGTTAATAAGAAAAAAATACGGAATTCACGTGCTTCATTTACTTTTTTTATACATAATAAAAATTTATTGTAATTAATTTTATAAGAGTTTTTATTGAAAAATAATTATTCAAATACATACAAAACAATGAGCATTTATTTAAATAGAGTTTTTTAAACTAATATATATATATATATTAAGCTATATCTTGTATCTTGATTATTGCATTATTTTTTGATGTAATCTTATGAGAAACAAATTAAATGTGTATGTTTTTTTCAATTTGAGATCAATTGAAACTTGCTCTTTGGATTGTTACAAATTTTATTTAAGAATTCATGCATAAAGAAAAAAAATTATTTTTTAAAAAATAAAATCAATTAAAAAACATAAAAAATCAACTAAGTGCAAATTTTTGATTGAAAAATCAAAAAATACGGTGAAAAATAAAATTTGCATTTGATTTCAATATGTCTTATTGGATTCACAGTACGACAAAAATCATCAAAGTAAAATGATTTTTTCAAATAATATCATTTATTCTGTCTAATTTATAGCATAATATGGAGAACCGAAAAGTTTAAAATCTACATTAAATTGGATTAGTATAATAGAAAGAAGTTAAAAAAAATTCATGTAGTTAGAGGGTTGAATTAGGTGGAAAAAAAATAACAATTTAAGGAGTGTCAATCAAAATAATCTCTTGCTGAATTTATTATAAAAAAATAAATAGATATAGCTTATACAATAGATTCTTATAATTTTCAAATAATATTATCATGATTCTAAGTAGTACCAAAACTAAAAATGTACTGCACAAATTTTTTCTTGAGTTTTTTGAAAAAATAATTTTATAAACAATTAATTGATAATTAAAAGGAAGATATGAAAACAAAAATGAAGTGATTGCCTGATTGGTATAAGCCTCAGGCCACTGTATAGCGACAAAGTATGAATGCTTTATAAGCAGAAATATACGTTAACAAGGAAAAAACATGGAATTCACTTACTTCATTTTCTTTTTCTTTATATAATAAAAATTATTAAAAATAATTTTATAAAAGCTTTTATAGAAAAATAATTATTCAAATATATACAGAACAATGAACATTTACTTGAAAAAAGCACGTGATGGCACCATACTTTTTAAATAGAGTTTTTTTTTAAAAAAAAACTAATATATATATATATATATATATATATATATATTGATTTTTTAAGCTATATCTTCTACATTAATTATTGTATTATTTTTTTTTGATGTAATCTTATGAGAAAAAAATTAAATGTGTATATTTTTTTTCAATTTGAGATTAATTGAAACTTGCTCTCTAGATTATTACAAATTTTAGTTAAGAACTCATGCATAAAGAAAAAAAAATATATTTTTTTTAAAATAAAATCAATTAAAAACATAAAAAAATTAACTAAGTGCAAATTTTTTATTGAAAAAACAAAAAATAGGGTGAAAAAATAAAATTTACATTTGATTTCAATATATCTTATTGGATCCACATTAAGACAAAAATCATCAAACTAAAATGATTTTTTCAAATAATTTTTTTTGTTTTGTCTAATATGTAGCATAATATGGAGAACAGACAAATTTAAAATCTACATTAAATTGGATTAGTATAATAGAAAGAAGTTAAAAAATAAATAAATAAATAAAAATCACAGAATTAGAGCGTTGAATTAGGGGGAAAAAAAAACAAGAATTTAAGGAGTGCCAACCAAAACAATCTCTAGCTGAAAACTGTTTATACGGTTTAGCCAACAAAACCAAAAGGAATGAAACGACAGTGTCAGTCAGCTCAAATTCTCCTCTTCCGTTCATCGGAAAAATGCAGTCCCCTCTTTCAAACTCTTAAATGGTAAAAAATGCCGATTCTTTTACTATGATGCTCTATCTCCAAATCCAACAACCTCAAATCTCCCCCTTTTCAATGCTCAGGCACTCTCCAGTCGTCTCTCCTTCTCTCCTCCTCTCCTCTCTTCACAAATCAATCCACTGGAAACCCCGCCACGAGTCCAACTTATCCCGACCCGAACTCCACGACCGTATATCCCGTCTCCTAATCCTACGTCGTTCTGACGCCCTCAAAAACCTCAACTTCGATTTCTCCGATAATCTTGTAGACTCTATCCTTATTAAACTCAAATTAAACCCCGAAGCTTGTCTTAATTTCTTCCAATTAGCCACAAAGCAACCTAGTTTTAGACCGAACGTTAAATCTTACTGTAAACTTGTTCACATTTTATCTCGAGCCCGAATGTACAATGAGACCAGATCGTATTTAAATGAACTGGCTTCTCTTTGTAGGAATAATTACACTTCTTTTCTTGTTTTTGATGAGCTTGTTAGGGTTTATAAAGAATTTAAGTTTTCGCCGTTAGTTTTTGATATGATTTTGAAAGTATATGCGGAGAAAGGAATGGTAAAGAATGCACTCCATGTGTTTGATAATATGGGAAAGCACGGTCGTAAACCAAGTTTGCGTTCTTGTAATAGTTTGTTGAGTAATTTAGTTAAAAAGGGGGAAAGTTATAATGCACTTCTTGTTTATGATCAAATGAGGAGGTTAGAAATTGTGCCTGATGTTTTTACTTGCGCAATTATGGTTAACGCGTATTGTAAGGCGGGGAAGGTGGAGAAAGCGGTGGAATTTGTTCAGGAAATGGAGAAGTTAGGGTTTGAATTGAATGAAGTTAGTTACAATAGTTTGATTGATGGATTTGTTAGTCTGGGAGATATGGAGGGCGCGAAAGGGGTTCTGAAGTTGATGAGTGAAAGGGGGTTTTGAGAAATAAGGTTACATTTACATTGTTGATTAAGGGTTATTGTAAACAATGTAAGGTGGAGGAAGCAGAAAAGGTGCTTAGAGAGATGGAGAAAGAGGAGCTACTGGTTGTTGATGAGTATGCTTATGGTGCGTTGATAGATGGGTATTGTAAAGTTGGTAAAATGGATGATGCTATTAGGGTTAGGGATGAGATGTTGAAGGTAGGATTGAAGATGAATTTATTTGTTTGTAATTCGTTGATTAATGGGTATTGTAAAAATGGTCAAGTTCATGAGGGGGAGAGGTTGTTGACGCGTATGAGAAAGTGGGATTTAAAGCCCGATTCTTATAGTTATTGTACTGTTGTGGATGGATATTGTAGAGATGGTTTTAGTAGTAAAGCTTTCAATGTTTGCAATCAGATGCTTCGAAAAGGGATTGAACCGACTGTTGTAACTTATAATACTCTTCTCAAAGGTTTATGTCGATTAGGTGATCATGAGGATGCTTTGTGCCTTTGGCATTTGATGCTACAGAGAGGGGTGGTTCCTGATGAGGTTGGCTATTGTACTCTACTAGATGGGCTTTTCAAGATGGGAGATTTTTCGAGGGCTTCAACCCTGTGGGATGATATTCTAGCTAGAGGTTTAAGCAAAAGCACATACGCTTTCAATACAATGATCAATGGGTTGTGTAAGATGGGGAAAATGGTAGAAGCAGAGGAGATTTTTAATAGAATGAAGGAATTGGGCTGTAAACCTGATGGAATAACATTTAGAACCCTGAGTGATGGGTATTGTAAAGTTGGAAATGTGGAAGAAGCTTTCACAGTTAAAGAGAGAATGGAAAGGGAGGAAATCTTTCCTAATATTGAAATGTATAATTCCCTTATTGTTGGAGTTTTTACTTCTAAGAAAATAAGTAAATTGACAAATCTTCTTGCAGAGATGTACACTAGGGTATTGTCCCCTAACATTGTTACTTATGGATCCCTTATTGCTGGTTGGTGTGATCATGGTAGGCTGGATAAAGCTTTTCGTGCATATTTTGAGATGATTGAAAAGGGGTTCGCTCCCAATGTAATTATTTGCAGCAAAATCGTGAGTAGCCTCTATAGGCTTGGCAGGATTGATGAAGCAAACATGCTCTTGCAGAAGATGGTGGATTTTGATCTTGTTTTAGATCACAGTTGTTTGGAAGATCTTCAGAATGCTGACATTAGAAAACTAGACTGTCGGAAAATTGCCGATACCCTCGATGAAAGTGCTAAAATTTTTTCTCTCCCCAACAATGTGGTGTACAATATAGCTATGGCAGGGCTTTGCAAGTCTGGAAAGGTTGATGATGCAAGGAGATTTTTCTTGGGTTTGTCTCTTGGAAGCTTTACTCCGGATAACTTCACATACTGCACTCTAATCCATGGCTTTTCAGCTGCTGGTAATGTGAATGAAGCTTTCAACTTGCGTGATGAGATGGTGAATAAGGGTCTGGTTCCAAACATAACCACATACAATGCTCTACTAAATGGCCTGTGTAAGTCGGGATATCTGGATAGAGCGCGGAGACTTTTCGATAAACTTCACCTGAAGGGATTAATTCCCAATGTTGTCACTTACAATATATTGATTGATGGGTACAGTAAAAGTGGCAGTACTAGAGAAGCCTTGGACCTGAGAGGCAAAATGTTAAAAGAAGGGATTTCTCCTTCTATTGTTACCTATTCCTCTTTGATCAATGGTTTTTGTAAGCAAGGAGATTTGGAAGGAGCTATGAAGCTTTTGAATGAGATGACAGCATCAAATTTGGACCAAACTATAGTCACATTCTCCAAGCTAGTTGAGGGTTGTGTTCAACGTGGAGATGTTAAGAAAATGTTCAAGCTTCACAATATGATGCATATGGCATGTCCGTCTGCTGGGATTACTTCACATAAAAAAACAGAATTATCAGAGCTCTCAAATGCCAAAGAAATGCTAGATGCATACATCCTGCCTGAAGCTGCATGTTTATGAATGAGAAGCAAAGATTTCGAATGAGGAAGTTGTTTCATTTAGTGGGAATGACTTTGACGCAACCTTCCACGAGGGAGGCTTGGTAATGTGCATTGCAAATATGTTATGTTTGTCTCTTGTTTGCAAAAAATTGTGGTACTGATGGCGGTCTCCATGGTGCAGGATGTAATCCATCGTTTTTATATTGCTCTATAGTTCCAAAAGTTGCCTGCTCTGATCATCTTGGTAAGTAATTGCTTGGGGAGTGTTCTGTCTTGACTTTCACGTATTTCTAGCCAAAAGCTGGCATTAATTGAGGGAAAGCTGTGGGAGGGCCTTTTATTTAGTTAATCAATCTGGGAAACCATTTGTATCTTCTTTTAACCGTGTCATTGCCCAACCACAATGATATTTCTGATTTTTCTGTTCTGCTTCAAATGCATATGCATTATGATTAGGGTGTTTACTCTTAAAGCTTGCATATTATAGTAAAACAATATTTTCTTTCGCAGGATCAGCAATGGTATTTTACGTGGCAATATCCAGATTCTAGCATGATCGGGCCAATTTACGGGTGGACCATGCTTATTGCAGAAGTAGCAAAGATTGTGCTCAATGGGAGGTCTAGCGCAGCTGGCTGGAGGCAAATTTGGTCTCGTCTTGTGAATACCTAAGTGGTATCCACAAACATGCTTTTGCAATGACAATTAAAAGACGATGGAAGTCCAATTTCTGTACACTTTAGTAGAGGTCAGTAAGAAAATTACTTTGCCATTGTTCTACGTGCTCTGAGAGGAAGGCGTAAATAACTACTGAAATAAGTGGAAAATGACTTGGCATTTCTTTTTTTGTCCCATAAATTGCTGAATCAAACCATACAAGATGTCTATAGAATATATATTAGAATGGTGCATTATAGAAATTCTTGGCGTTCATGTTATAAGTGCATGCTGGTTAGCACATGCACATAAATACATGTAGATTATGATGGCAAAGAAGAATTTCATTCCTTGCCTTTTTGTTTCTAGCAATCAAAGTGGTAGCCTGGTAGGAGCTGACTTAGACTAGAAGGATACTGTTTAATGTAACAATTTAACTGTTTTCATGTCAATGGGCTGCTGCTTTAGCAAGTTTCTTGATTTTTTCCTTTTATCATTGGGGTATGACTCTTATTTTAGGTTCTCAGGAAACCAGAAACCTACTTCCAATGTATCATGATGCACTCAATCATCATTATGTTGGGATTTGCAATTTGGATCCTTTCTCATGGTCAGCACCTAAAGATTGAAAATGCCCTCATTGTCAGCTGCCTGATAACTGGGACAGAAATTATTTCTGGGATGGAAACTACGAAAGTTTAGTTGTTGTTATTAAAGGTTGATGGATCTAAGAGTGCAATTAGCGAGGTAAGTCCTTGTAACAAGGAAGCATCAACTCGTTCTGTAAAGAGAGAGGTTAAAGAAAATGACAAGAGAGAGAGAGAGAGAGAGAGAGATGTAATTATAGGAAAGATATTTTCATCAAAATTTACCACTTACAGTTTGGTAGAGCTGGGTAAATTATTCTTTTCGAAAATCATATTTAACTGTTCTTATAGATACCTGTCACAAATCTTCCATCTTTGTATTTGATGGTAATTAAAAATCTTGTGCAAGTAAAATATCTGATAGAAGAGAATATTAGGAAGATGAACTTTGTTGTGGAAGTGAAGGTTTCCTTCTGGTGTTTAAATTTAATTAATTTTTATTTATTTATTTATTTATTTATTTTTGTCTATATGCTATGGTCTATCGGAACAATTCTTGCTTGAGAATCACACTTTGCTTGTTGAACAGAAGACGCAACGTCTATGAAATTTTAATGCTTCCATATATGGAATATGACACATTCTCTTCCAACACTAACTATAAGTTTCCGCGCTGACAATGGATCGGATTTTAATTTGAATTGCTATGTTTAGATTTGGAGTTTATTTACTTTTAATGCTAATGAATGATATGTACTTATGTTCCTTTCTTTCTCTAGATTGATAGCTATTCTTTCAAAATTCCAACAATCGCATGATAATTATTTATTTTTTTCTATTTCTTTTCAAGTCTCAAATTAATTTTATGATAAATCCTATAAACATATGAAAAAAAAAGAACTTCATTAGTGAGTTGTTGCCAGTATTATACTTATGTTTCTAATTTATATTGTCTTGATTCATCTTACTTTTTGTTCATTTTAAGCTTATTTTTTTATAAAACACTAGGATTTTCTTCCATGCAAATCGAGTTGCTCCTAGAGTATGTATTTTTATTATTGTTTTTTATCTCTAATTTTTGTACAAGTTAAATTAATTTGATCTTTAATATAATTTTTTATTAAGATTATTTTATTTATTTATTTTTTTATGGTGATACATTTTAATTTTTTTTATTAAAAAAAATGAGATGTGAAATATTATTTGGTAACATATTTTCTTATACACGCAGTTGTTAAAACTCATTACACATCAAAGAATAGTTTTGAATGTAACCAACATTTTTTCTTTGAAAAAATTGAATAATAAATTTAATGGATATGGATTGACAATTGAAAAATGCAATTCGAATCGATAAGAATCGATTTGTTTTATTTATTAAATAAATTAGATTTGAATATATTGTGATTTGGTTCGAATCTAATTTATTGTGAGTCTTGCATGTAGATAACTAGTTAACGTACAATAGCTATAAAATAGGTTTTCTTGATTTTTAGAGTAACTTCGTACTTTTATCTACATAAATGATGAGATCATACGTAACGTAGGTGAAATTATTTCTCACTATTAGGAATATTTCCTTTTTCTATTTTTCATTTCTTTTGGAATACAAATTGGGAAGATCTGGCTCTAAGATTTCTTTTTCTTTGACAACATTTGGGAAGATTTGATCCTCGTCTTAAAAGTCTTGAAAACCTTATAGAGTTGATTATATTTTCAGTGAATCAAGTTGTCAGTTTTTTCTAATCAATTTTTTTTTTAATCTTTTTTTTAATCTTTGTTATTTAAATAGAACAAGTTGTAATTTTCTAATCAAGTATATTTGTTAACTTTTTATCAATTTTTTCGTTATATGCATACGTGTCCTGTTGGTGGGATCCGTTTTCACATGTATTGATGACGCAGTGGACATATGTAAGACACGAGTCTACCATGTGTAAATGACGTGAAAAAAAAAAATTAAAAAATTAAAAGATAGAAGTCCTTTCTCAGCCTCCATCTTCTTCAAAACATCTCCAAACTTCGGCAGCCACCATTGAACCACCATATTCACCACTGTTAGTCTTTTCTTCAATATTGCCATCACGGCCAAAACCCTTTCTATTTTATCCTTTCTCTTTTCACCAACCACTAAACCATCAAAACACTGGACCCAACAATAAGAAAGCCTTCAGTCATCAAAAACCCACTCCACCAGCCACTGCCATCATCTTCCCCAGAACATCCTCACCAAACCCTAGTAGTTACCGAATATAATTATCATCCCTACACTATAGTGGCAGGAAAAGAAGGGAAAAAAAAACTTTCAATAACATCGTACATGAGATAGCTCACCCAACTATTTTTTGTTGATTTTGTCAACTAAATTTTCAGGAGGATTCCGTCAAACAATGACCCTAGTTAGATATATTTCCATCTTCATTTATGATTGGATGAGCAATGGCCAGACTTTTCCAATTGGATCGTTTTAATAGTGGTGCATGATCGGTTGATGAACCAAGAAAGTACCAAAATGAATTTGGCTCTTAGCCTATTCAGATAATTTGGACTATACATAAAGGAAGCAAAGAAATTAGGAAGAGTTTGGCTCTCGTCTAGGTATAATCTTAACCACTGGTGGAGGCATGGCCTAACCGAGTGGACACATCTCTCGATTAAACTATAATTTGATGTTCAAACCTTCGTTTTCAAGACTATAATTTAATCTATAACACTGCATTAACCAGAGCATAGAAAAATCCCAAGATACGTCTTCTTTTTTTTTTTCCAAAGAATTCACCTCCCCTCGTACGCTATCCAGCGCCATCACTGTATGAATATAGGCATGTGGGCCTGCGGTTGAGAGTGTTTCAGGATTGTTTGGCGTCGAAGAAGATGAGGAGAGAATAAAGGCGTGCGGTTTTAGTGGAGGTTAAGAAACTGGAGATTAAGTGGTTAAAAGGGGAGGAAGGAGGAGGTTTGCCGAGATCCACATTTAGGAAGAGGAGAGAGTGGTGGAGGGAGGCAGTGAGGACGGTGGGGTTTTTGAGGGGAAGACAAATGAGAATTTCTGTTTTTTTTTTTCCCTTCATTTTCCATGTCATTTACGCATGGTAGACATGTGTAATACACACGTGTTTGCCACATCGTTAACACGTGTGAAACAGGTCTCGTTAATGGGCCACACGTGCATATAACTGAAACAATGGGCCAAACGTTAATGGATTATAAAAAAGTTACAATTTCATCTATTTAAATAATAAAAATTTAAAAAAAATAGAAAAAATTAACAACTTAGTAGATCGAAATTATAATCAACTTAAACCTTATATAGGGAGCATGGCAAGAGAAGGCTAACCAAGAGCTCCCAAAACGCAAAACAGGATAATGCAGCCTCTGCAGAAGACAGACTAAGATTGCGGAACTGCATTAAGATAGATGGGAAACCATGCATCAAGCATCAAGAGATAGATCTGATAGAACGGTGCTGCTCTTGTCTAGCTTGGCTATCTTGGATGCATGTTTCCATTCTTATAAGCAATTTAACTGTGGACTACAATTATAATTGTTCGACTTATATTCTGCAAGTTTGTTTACTGCCTCTTTTATGTCTAAATTGTTCAGGCCAAGCTAATATTTTCTATGAATGACATGTCGATAAGGAATGTGTTTTTGTGCATAAGTGCGTGCATAAATATAATGATTTTACTCTTCTGGCATTGGTGGGATTATGGTGCAGGATCCATTTAATAAATTGGCTGATAAAATTCTTGTGAAAATATGCTTTCCGTCTTGAGTACGAAAGCAGCAGTATGAAGCAGCAGCATCTCAAAGTGGTGGTGATATATGTGGACATTTACCGTGGAAATTTGGAGTTTGACTAGTTTAAAACGGCACGGAAATCATCCTTTTTACTAAGTATCCAGATCGAAGAGTTCCACTTCGTTAAAGGGTTGAACCAATGAGAATTGTTAAGTGGGTGAATTAATGATGTCTTGGATATGCATCAGAGTCCAACTACAGATAAATTAATAATTTGCTGTGAACTAGATGAATATTGTTTCTAACTTATTATTGAAACTTTTTAGATGATTTTTATAATTTCATAATGCTTAAAAGGAGTTTAAGGAGTTATTGTAATTTAACCAAAATAAATTTTAAATTTACACCGGTAGCATTTAATAGATATAATAAAAGAGGAAGAACTCTTACGAAAGAGAGAATGTGGGTGTCAATATCGGCCTCAACTCCAAATCCTCTGGGCTTGGCTTCATCCATTATCCACATCACCAGCCACCTTCAGGTTTTCCGTCCTCATCCTTATTCTTTGGGTAGATATTAGGTCCAGCCCAACCTTAAGTCATTGGGCCCGGTCTTCACCTTTGTGTCTAGATCCCTTGATCACCTAGTCTCGGCCCATGTGCCCTCAGGTCATGGAGTAAGGTGAAAAGAACAAGTCACCCTGACCTTTCTCTCGCGTCTCTAGGTGTGCTTAACACACGAGGTTTTGTTTTCCCCTAACGGATGGGACCCACCGCCCAAAACACACCGAACCCAAAGGGCCTAAACAAAGACTAATTACATATCCTTCCTCAATTCACCTACTGTCCACTTATGGTTGAACAACGAAAGCAATTAAGAAAGAGAGCCAGTTTTAAAAAACTAGAAAACAAGATTTCCAAATATTTTCAGTTTTTATTCGCACAAAAGTAAAATTGTCATTTTTGTTTCAATTTTTTTTAAAAGCAGTTTTTATTGTATCATCCAAGGAGTGAGATGATACATATTTTTTTAGTTTTGAATTCATATACGATAACACAAATTAAAATGTACAGGAATGAAACCACATTCTGATCAGGTGATCATTATACCCTAAAATCTGAAAAGAAAAAAAGAAAAATTCATAGTAGTTGTAAACTTCTGAAAAAAATTAAATATACCCTTGAGCTTGTAATGCTCATTTAAGAGAACATTTGCATTTTCCATCCACTATATATATATTTGATACGAGTTTACTGTATCAACTCCAAGTAAATCAATCTCTTTGATTCATGTATGCACTCTCTTACCATCGTTTTTCAATTTTTTTTTTTTTTAATTAGAGGTTGAAACTGTTGATTTTGAGAAGAGATCGAACCTTAAAGGTTTAAAAAATTGCAAATAAAATATCCAGCCTTGTGGGTGAAAAGAGAGAGTTTCCAAAAAAGTACAGCTTGATCAGTCTCTTTCACGCATCACGATTTAAAGGATCACTTTCAGTACTACTGTTTTAAACAAAAATATTTGTAAGATCGCACACCCTCACGCTTGTATCATGCTTATGCAATAAATTTTACATTATAAAATAATATCTTTCTCCATAAAAAAGAAAAAAAATGAAAGTTTTATACATTTTCAGAAGTCGGAATTAGATTTTAGAGATAGAGAGTTAAAATGAAATCTCTTATGATATTTTTAAAAATAACACAAACTAATAATAATAATGGCTATAGAATACATATACATTCATTGCTACTTTTTCCATTATCGTGTCCGTTCTTGACATTTTCGGGCGATATTGCAGTGCTCATGTAAATCTATATATATTTAGATTACAATATTGGGCCTGCAAAGAGGCGAAAAGAGCCTCAGGAAACAATTCTAAGCCAGCTCACACCAAGGAAGCATAAAGAAATTTATCTATATATGTATTTTCCTTCATCATAAATATCATATATATAAGCTATAATTAAAAGTCTAAAACCCAAATTACATCAATTAAAACCCAAATGATACCTATCATAAAAGCTATAGAGGATATACTCCATGAGCGTGTGTAAAGAAACTAGGAGAGATTCGTTAACATGTACTTCAATAATTAGAGAGAGGAAAATCCTATTTTTCTAAGTGGAGAAAATTCTTAGAGAATGGCCAATATGGTCATGCTGGCTGGCAAGCACGAAGGGTACGAACGCGTTGTCATCAACAAAACGACATCATTGTTTATAATTTCATGGATTACAGGAAGTCCAATTAAACAAAAAATGATTTTTTTCGTTTTTTCCTTCTTTATTAAGTGTATACTACTTTTAAAATAACTAAGTACAACGTTATTTTATGAAGACAAGCTGTTAGTTGTGTACTGACTTTCGTATCCATGTTTTTCAGTTCTTCCCCAATCGAAATTCATAGGCTTACTGTTGAGTAATACACATAAAAACTCAAATCAAAATTCGTACCAAATTTAGATCACAATTTATGAGTTTCATGTCCACTAACTTTGAATTCCACTTTCATCAACTCATCAATGCTATGAAATTTGAATAACAAAAAAAAAAAGAGAGAGAGGAAGGGATAGATTAGAAGGGTCTTTTTCTCACTATTAATAACAATTTCAACATCCTATATATATATTTATATGACCCACCAGTCATTTTCAACTTTTAAGATCAACCTTTCACTTTGTTTTTGTTATTATTATTATTTTTTTCAAATGATATGAGTTATTTTTACATCAAATCTTCGGGAAAAAACTAATTTTTATTTCTTTAGTACAATTGAAAGCAGGTTATCCATGCAAAAGCAGGAAAATTTATAGAAATTTTGCGTTTCTTGATTTAGTTTGAGATTCGAAACCTAATGGTTAAAAGGAAAACACACTCATTTAATCATAAAGGCATGAAAGATAGTTATACAAATGGTTGAAAAATATTTTGAAAGATATTACAAAGAGATTATTTGAACATAAATGAAAACCCATTGATATTCATGTACTTTTTATGTATTGTAATCATATGGTGGTTAAAACAAAAAAAGGAAGACAATATATCAATCATATATCAATGTACTTCTATATATTATAATCATATGGTGGTAAAAAAACAACAATCTATCAACCATACTTTTGAGTTTATATATATTATAAACATATGGTGGTAAAAAATTCAACCAATGGTAACAATTAGATATAATCTTAAAATTACGACTGATGGATTTTTTTAATTATAAAGAACTGATGAAATATATAACATTAATATGTTTTCCTCGGAGAACAAAGGAAGAAGGAAATAATAATAATAATAATAAAATACTAGGGAGCACAGATACGATCTTCGAACGTCTATGAAAAACTGGCTTCTAAAATCTAGGGTAGCCAAGTCGTACACTTCGTAAGCAATCCAAGAAATGCTGGAGAATTGAGAGTTGAGGTAGGGTCCACGTAGAAGACTCACTTATTTCAAATTAATGCTCCCCCGTCGCTCAAGCGAGAAGCCTCCAAAATCTTGCTATCTGCGAGCTTCCGTAGTCGCTCTTTTCTCTACCGACACTTTCGTTCTGGACAAATTATTATTGTTTTTTTCAAAAGAAAAAAAAAAAAGTTACAGAGTGTCGTTTTGAAAGTTCTCAAAGTTGACCACATGATTATAATTGAAGCCACGATGTTTCAATTTACTAAAATACAAGACACCCATAATACAATCCATTCAGCTATAGTAACTAAAATAATAAAACAAAGAATGAGGTAATACTACGCATCCCATCCAATTTTCTCGAAGAAATTGAAATTTATTTATTTAAGTTTGGTGGCATTATGAAACTCTCCAATTCAATCTTCTCAGATGGGATAAAATCGTTTTCAGCTGAACACTGTTATGAAAGAAGCATTTGCACTATTTTTCTACTGGGCAATAACCAGAAATCGCTGGCAAGTGTGTAATTTTTAAATAAGAAAATGATTGATGAGGATGCATTTGGAAGGAAGTGCTTTTACTGACTATTTCCTGGTTAGCAAATTTCATTTTGCCATATTCGGCAGCGATCAACACCCATTTAGATTCCAGTAGCATTTCAGAAAAAAAAACATGCTCTTGCGTCTTCAATCAAAATTACTAACTATTATCTAGTGCTGGAAAAGCCGTCTAAACTTTTCTTAAAAAAAAACGTTTTTTTCCTACGCATTCGTCTAACATTTACCTTTTTGTAAAGAAGCACGTGGAAGGTAAACACTTGATAGATTTTTACTCAAGTATGTACGAAATATCAGTAGCTATCAATTGTAGTCTCTGATAATTTATTTTGATTAATTAATTGGCTGGCCTAGAATTTATCTGCTGTAGTTGAAGAGTCGTATCGGTAGGCGAAATGTCTTTCCAGCCTAAACAGTCACTTCCACTTGAAGGGAAACGGTATGAAAAAGAACTACTATCAAAGTACGCGGACCAAGTACTAAAAATATATCTGAAGGAAAGTTAGCTAAATCGAAAGGGAAAATCTTGCTACTTCTTTAGATTCAAGTTTTCAGGGGAAAAAAATTCCTTTCATTTATTACAGCATTAGTGATGGTTCCAGCCAAACGAACCCAAATTATAATATCCTTTGCCGTGCTTGAAAGAGAGAGAGATAGATACTGCTAATTGAATAAAGATGAGACGTTTCAATCTATTCTACAAACCCACCAATAGATTTATACCAGTGGCATAAATCATTAACTTAATTGATGATTAGCAAATAATGTTAGCTAATTAGCATGTTCAGAAAATGCTCCCTAATTAAATTATGGCATAGAACAGAGAAATAGCTGAAATAAACAATATTCACAGAACATTCCAACTCTTATTAAACAAAATATCGATTCATGAAACCAACCAAAACAGCTCTTTGGCTATACAATTTGATTACAATTAACCACAAATCCGAGATGGACATTCATGAATCTTTCTTTTCTTTTCTTTTCTTTTTTGGTTACGATTCTGGATGTATATATATCCTCCTTATTCTTACTGCACAAATTTAGAAGGTACTGTTATTCTGTTTGATACAAGTAAGAATTAACATATATAATTTCTTGATTAATGTATAGACCACTCTGTATAATCATCTACAAGAACATACCTAATCTCTCTTGATCACTGTAACTTGACTTCTTCACAGAGACATACTTGTTATTTTGTCTCTTAAAAACCTTCAAGATCTCTCTCAGGACCAGCATCTTCGAATCCGACGAGAGCATGATTGGAGAAACACAGTAGTGAATCACTTTCTTTCAATTATATCTTCAAGAATCCAAGGCAAATGGAGTCTGCAAGAGATCATAAGGAGCCCAAAGAGCATCCAAAGGACACGGCCGATTTGCGTCAAGTCTAGCCCATGGCTTCCCTTTACCACTCCAATGCAAAAGACTAACAGGACCAGGATGCAAATCTCTACAAAGCCCTCTAAAATTATCTCCCCCAAGCCCATGTTGATTCCATCTATGATCAACTGGCACTATATCGCCAGCAAAAACTAGCAAGAATGGTGGCAATGAACCCAGCTCGTAAATTCTCACTCTCTTCTGTAGTTCCATCCACTCCTCAATCTTTGTTGTATAATCTCCTTCTCTCCATCGATCAAGATCGATTACCATAACGCCAGTGTTAAAGTAACAAGGTTTTTTATCCGCAAATGTTAGTGACAAAGAAGGATTGGACCAGAAAGTTGGAGTGAAATATGAAGTAAAATTTGCGTTGCAGTATTCAGGTGCTGCAAGAACTGATTTTTCACCTAGTGGGGTAGCTGATAGCTTGGCAATATCGTCGACAAGAACCAGGTCCGAATCAAGGTATACAACTCGTCGGACGCACAGAGGTAGGATATTGGCTAAGTAGCTGCGAGCGTAATTCAGAGGGCAATCGAGGGCTGAACGGATTGATGTGGAGATGAGTCTCGACACCGATGAATCGTCGAACGTGTATACTCGGAATTTAAGGTAAGGGAAGGAAGATGAGATAGAGGCGCGTAAGAGTGACGCGTTAGCGGAGGCAGAGGCGACGAAATGGAAAGCTATGTTTTGGGGGCAGGAAGTGTGTTGCAGAACTGAGAGAATTGCAGCCATGGAGCCACGTATGTAGGCTGTGTCCAATGTCATTGCCACATGGACGGCGCGCTCGGAGCAGAAGATGGTGTTATCACCATCCGATTCTGGTTCAGAGTCTGTTTCCTCTTGATCAATGGAAGGGCAATCGAGGGAGTTGTAAAATTGTGGGGCTTCTTTGAATTGTTGAGTAATAATAGTCGCCGCGGCGGCATTGGTGGTTAATGAGAGAAAGAGGAAGAGAAAGGTGAAGAGTAGTGTGAGTCTGTGGATGAGTCTAGGCATAAGCATGTTGTGTTTTCAATTTCAGATTTTCTGAAGTTGAGAAAGGGAAATTACAGGTGTTGAGTTTATAGGTGGGGGGAGAAAGGAATGGGATTATGTAGCTTTTGGCGATGGGTTTTAATTATTATGTTTGAAGAGCTAGTACATGCTTTTGATTTAAAAAGAAAGGAGGCTTCGCTTGGGTATATAGCTGGATGGGTGGCTTTGCTGCAGGGGAGCTTGGTCAAGAATTTTCTTAGAGGGAGTTCGTTGCATTCACATTGAATCTAGAGGGGTTTTTAGCTTGACTTTTGGACAATAGGCCCTTTATGAGTTCCCATGTCTCTTTCAGCATTCACTATTGGCTCGCTTCTTCTTCTTCAGCTTTTTTTTTTATTATTATTATTCTTTCTTCTTTTTTTAATCTAAATGTTGCTTGCTTCTTATGACTTTGAAAATGACAGCACACATTTTCAGCAAAATCAGTGGTGCTTTTGGGTTGGTAAAATTTTGCGACCCATGAAATCTTACGAAAGAAAGTAATTAGATATCTTTAATTTAAAATGTCCTTTTGTTCATCCCTAATCATTACTCAGAGGGTAAAAAAATATTCAAATTAATTTTGACTTTGTTCAGGTGAAGTAAATGCCTTTCACAACTCCTTATGGGCTACCATCGCTAGCTAGCTAGCTAGAGAGAGGAAGGTCGTACAGATTCGAAGATATCAGCCAGCTTCCTGTCGTTGTGCAATCTAATGTAATAACAATTCACTAAATTTATGTAGTGGCATTTGAAAGAAAAGTATCTTGTCATTTAAAAGAAAATTTGAATGGAAAATTTTTATGCTCTTCTTTATGCTAAAGAAAGGATAAAGGCGGGAGTGTTGCATGGCGCTGTTATGATATATTTCAATCTCCTTTCTTTTTCTCGGCATGGGGCTCTGCCAGTGAGTTAAAGGGAACAATAATACTAAAAGAAAAAAGATTTGTTGTTATTTATCAATCCTTTATTATTTTTTGTTGCTTTCTTTATTCCCTTTTCAAGAAAAGCAGTCCTGCATGTAAATTGACATTATTATTTGTCTTCCCAAATAAAAATTTATAGCATGTTACCATGGTTGTTGCCTTGTTGATCGATGCTTGTTCACAGTATATCGTTCTCTTCCCTCTCTCTCAGATATGTTGAACCATCACATTCTAAGAAAACTATGTTCGAGCGACTCGAAAAAATATGCTTTGAAACCAAGCCTTCAAATGCAAATATAGTTGATAAAATGTTGCTTTGTTAATTAAGGGTCTTGTAAGCATTACATGTTGAGTCGTGAAATTTCAGTTTTCTTATAACCTAGAATGTTTCAAATGGATTTGTTGGACAGATATTCAGTGCAGTTGACACTTGGTAGCTTGAAAAAAAAAATCCCCTGTTATTTCAATATATAAAAAGACTTCAGCCCCACTTATTGTGATTTAATTTGATCTAAATTAATTAAGCTGGCTATACATCAAATCTTGAATAAAATAGACAAAATAAATAAATAAAACATTGAAGTATTGGACTGTAAACATGTATAAAATTTACATAGATTCCTTGTATGATTTTCATCTAGCTATAATCCATCATGTTCACGACCAAAGCAAACTTTGGACACTAAACTGAACAGTCAAAATTCATCATCGCTGAAATTAAACATACAAACAACTCATGGACTGTAAACTTTGTGAGCTTTTTGGATGACCCTTCCTGAATTATTTGTTTTCTTATTTTAACCATGAATTATAAGATTTTTTAACTGACATTCTTTCAATTAGTTAGATTCTATCTATCTCATCCATTAAATATCACATACAAGTGAAGTATTTTCCAAAAATTAATCCCAAAAAAACCATAAAAAATGCAAAAAATAGTCGAGGATGAATATAGTGATGACATTTTTATCAAAATTTAAACGATTTTTTATTTTATTGGTGCAAGAAGTTGATTCTTGATGATATTTTGTTGAATTTTCTTTTTAATACATATATGTGTGTGTGAGAGAGAGAGAGAGAGACTCATATGCTATTTAACGGGAAAATGGAAAGAAAAAGATTTTCAATCGAAGCATGTCATATTTATATAGTTTAGGGATGGAAAAAGAAAAATAGCGGGTATCCATAAAAAAAATATAAATCACGTTGAAAGAAAGGGTTGTAGAGAATTATCTTTTCCTATCGTTTTTATCAGCGTGTATATGAAGGTAGATTAATTATTTTGCATCTCCAACCTTCGTATCCAAGTTTTAATTCTCCTGGTTCTACTTCTCTTTTACTTAAAGGTGATGATTTGAATTATTTTTATATTCTTGATAATTATAGACAGGAAAATAAAAACCTTAAGCAAACAATTATAAACACCATTTTTATTATATATAAAAGCCTCATTGTAGCAAATTTATACCACTAGCCTAGCTAGATCTAACGAGAATAATGGAATATGGAGTTTTTTTTTTTTACCAAAAAGATTAAGGATTCAAATCATAACGGACTAATTATATATATATATATATGTGTGTGTGTGTGTGTGTGTGTGTTTTTTTTTTCTTGAAAACAAAAAGATCTAATATTAATTATCGTTTTGTATATTACTAGTTTTTTTATCCGCGGTATGCTTGCGAATTGGATAGAATATATAAAATTATTTTAGTTTTGTTTCATATTATATTGTATATATACAAAAACATATCAAATTAAAAATGAATAAAAATTTATTCAATTTTTTAATCAAAATTTAGGATTTGGCTGATTATTCTTAATACTTTTCATAAATTTTTGAAAAATTATTTATTTATTCTCGTCCACAAATTAAAAAAATTTATAATAGTATAAGAATGTCAAAATCAACGGATTCTTACCTGAAAAAGTATTTTGTAAATTATTTTTTCTAAATATTTTTTTACCTTAAAATTTTTAATTTAAAAAAAAGAGAAAAAAAGGACCAAAGTGATTAAAATGAAACAAAAAAGAGGGATCAAAATAAAACAAAAAATATTTATGGACTAAAAAGACAATGTTTAAAAAAAAAAACTAAAATATAATGTCACGAAAACTTTCATAATAAATATTTTTAAAATATTTAAAAAATATAAAATATCGCGATAGTGAAAAAAATAATACATCTAAATCTTGATAAATGATACAAATGAATAGTAATTCATCATTTTACTTTAGTTTTTGTTAATGAAATAAAAGTAGTCCAACTACTTCCTAATTAAGCTCTGAAGTTTTAACAGCTAGCTTAGACATCGCTTTCAATGTCCTTTATTAATTTATAAGTATGCTATTATAAATTTCTTTTGATTAATTTTACCTTTTGTTGGCTGTAGAGGTTGGTGGTCCAGATTCACTTGGATAAAACTCACTAATTAAAGGGCATGCATGGCCAACTTTGATCTCGTTTTGCAAGAGAGGAAGCTGCTGGTATATATAAATGACCGAAGAAAGTGCATAAGATCATGATCTATATGGTCATTTCATAATCACAGAATGCATACACAGATAAATTCAATGAAACCATACGGAATGGAGTAGAAACCCCTTCTCCTCCCATCATCATCAACCCATCACTGCGACAGCAGTAAGAACTCAAATAGACGCACAAAGAGGCAAGACTAACTAAGAACTCTCCAAGGAACAATGTCAGCAACCAATCTTACTACCATACATCTTAGGTTCTTTTGATCATACACATGAGGATTGTATAAATTATGTGTAACGTTGAGGCAAAGCAGAAGATAGATTTACTTCTTTCTCACGGTCACCGACACCTGACCCACAACGAAAAACGCGTGGGGGTAAGGAGTTAATAAAATTCCGATTAAATGAGGAGCAAATGCTTGATGCCTTTGTCTGCACGCTGAATAAGTCAGTCTTAATATTACTATTATTATCTTTTTCGTACATAGTTGGACTATATTTATTTATTTGTTATGAGTAAGTTCAAAAGGCTTTGAATTATATGCTGAAAAGCAACCTTCCTTCATTACGTAATAATTGAAAAAATTAGAGTTATTGAAAGAAGCTAAGAATACGATATCGATAGATAATTATATCTGCATGTATAACTAAATCAATCTTTTCATGTTTTAAGTAACAATTTATCCGTATAAGCTAGGATCAAAAAAATCTATCTTTTTCTATAATCTAACTTGATATTTAAAGCCCCACAAATTAATTAAGAAAAGAGTATTCCCTCTCGATCATCATACCAAGCTTCTAATATTTAAATCGTCTTGCTTGACTATCTCGTCAAATAATACTTTCAACTACATACTCTTCGTCGGTCGGTGGAAGTCAGTGTAAAATAATATGGCATGTGTGCAGCTAGAAAATAAGTAAGGCTATTTCAAATTAAGTGCCTCGATCGTTTGCTATTAATTTTATTTGCCATAGCTGAACTAATAAGAACCACCTAGTGGCATGACAAAACTGAACAGAATCATTGAATTCGCATGTTAGTTGTCACCAACCTTTTGTCCCCATGCAGTTGCATTGAAGCTTCTTAATTTCCTTCCATTTACAATTATTTTATCGTTTCCCATGTGCCAAAGGAATCTTTAATATTTTGAAAGTTTAAATAAATGTTTGGTTTGATACATGTTGCTCATTCCTTTTCTTTTTAGAATGTGCTTAATTGACATAGCCTCACTCTAAAGAATCCCTATAGTTACTATAATGAGATAAAGGAGGCAGATTTTAAATTGTTTTTACAAGTCTCCCTCCAGTTTCTTTGCAACCGACAATAGCTAATGCATATGAAATTGTCTTGTGATAATTCTCCAATGTAATCGAAAGCTGGTCTGATAATATGATTTATATCCTCTCTCTCTCTCTCTTTTATCTTAATATGATATATACTCTTAAACCAAAAAAAAACATATATAACTAGATTTTATACCTATATATAGTTGTATTTAAAGACTTGGGGTCTATTAAATATTCATGATGCAAATCCTTCTCATGAGAAAAAAAAAAAAAAAATCGACTTTCATTTTTATTTTGGTTACAAAGGATAGGTTTGAATTCGAAACTTTTTAAAGGAAGGAATGACATTAATTAATACCGGTTGAGTACAATTTGTTGGCAAATTGACTTCTAATTTACTAACTTCTAAAATTTACAATTCAATGAGACCCTGTTTTACGGGGTTCCCCAGAGGTTTATTGTCCAAAATAGTAATACTGCCGTAATAAAAAAAGGGTTTGAGTTAATGATTTTAGGATTACGTGGCTAGAAAGGAAAATCATTATTGATAAATTCCAACAAGGAGAAAGTTCTCCGGGAGACCACCATTGTTTATCACGTTTCTTTTTCAACTGCAGACAGAAGCTCCAAGTTCCGATTGTTGGGGAGTTGCGAAATTTCACAAAGGCTATGCATGTTATGTTGGTCAGGGTAACATCTAATCTCAATCAGGCAACCCATGTGATAGAAAAGAGAGTCAATGGTATTAAAAGGGGCCACAATCAAGAATATCCATACACTGGTGGATGAGGTAATTGGCAAAAATAATGATTGATAGCTCAGCTGATAAAACATGTTAGGACCACACACCTTCAGAAATAGAGAATCACAAGATTTCTTGATTCAAGTATTCATAGTTTCAAATAAGTATTCATAGTTGCAATAACCATCGTTGATTACGATAACAAATGCATAATTTAATGGCTAAAATATAACAATTGTGGCCAATATTGTTTGGAATTTGAATCGTTTAACAACTATAATGAATTTTAAAATATATGTCAATTTGATATTTTTATTAAACAATCATAATAATAGCATTTTATATATATATATATATATAATTGCATTATTAAAAATTAAATTTTAACTTTAACCTAACTTTTAAATTGTTATTCAAAAATTGTTTAATAAAGTTATAATTTAATTATTAGTTGTTAGAGTGGAGGAAAAATTGACTCATAATATATATATATATATATTGTGCAATAAAAAATGTAAAAACATTATTATTTTTTAAAAAAAATTATACAAGTAAAAAAATAAAATAAAAATATAATTTTAAAACTAGACCCAATTATCACTTAAATAATTAAAAAAAATAAAAACTATATCAGTTACTTCTTTATCATTGTCCAATTATATAACATGACCGTTATTTCTTTATTATGGATTCAATTATATAACGTGGCTCAAAATTATTTTCTAGGTTCAAGCGAAAGGCCCATGTGTCTTGCCTAAATCTAGAATTTCTTCATGCCGCCTCCCAATCTCCCATCCTCTCACTTCTTCTTCCCCAAAAACACCTCCTTCCCTGTCTCTTATTCTTCTCTAAAAACGATTTCTGATCTCTTCTTCTTTCCGATTCTTGTATTTTATGTTTGCAACACTTGAAATTCTACAAAAGTTGTGGCTGATAGAGATAAAAAAGAAGTACGAAAAAAAGACCAAATCACATGGCAGCTACAAGCCTGCTGCAAAAGCTGAAAGGTGTTTATATATTAAACAACGACCAGTGAGGGGACACTAGCTTTCTATTGGGATCGATAATCTCCACTTGTTGGTGTCTAGTGTCCATTCATCTGAAATAGAAACTGATTGAACAACCTAAGATTGGGAAAAAGTTCAGGATCCGGCATAATCTGCTTCTTAACTGTGACTATATAACCTAACAAGACAAAATCACATACAGAGCAGATTTTTTTGGTGGTTGACGAGGTAAGAGAAACTCATAAGAAAATGAGGATATCTTGCTTGGCAAAGCCTGGTCTAATTTGACCATACTAACCAAGCAATTGGAAGCATCAACGGAGCAAACAATAGTTATGGCATGGGAACAAGTGTAGACATAGTATGAAACATGCTTTACTTCCTCCTCCGTTTAGGAAAGATGAAAGGTAGTGCAACGATAAAGAAGAAGACATATGCCTAACATCTAATGTTTCTAATGAACATCTAAGTTGTGCTTCAAACACCTAATTTGATGCACATTGCATAGAGTTGTCTATTTAGTCGCTACTGCCTTATTTTCAGCCACAAATACAGCGAGCAAACCTAGTGTCGGCGGTCAACGAGGTCTCTTAGTGGATGGTGAAACTGTATTCTTGGTAATGGTATCCAGCAACCAAGGAAAGTTAAACCTAGTGAAATTTGCATATTATCAAGAGAGCACAAGTCATTGTCGTGGCCCAAAAACCTTCTTAGCTCTCCATGCATTTAACCAAGGCCACAGAAACCATTAAAAGAATGCAAGCATAACACTACTAGTCTAATACATAGATTGGCATATAAACACACTATATAGATCAGCTAAGACATCAGGACAACCATCAAAAAGATGCTAAGCATCACTAACAATCTTCTGATATCCCTAGAACACAAACGTAATCATTAGCATTACGAAGTCTGAAAAGAGCAGCTCATCTCAAGTGTAAGTCCACTGAACTTCCCTCGATAAAACCTGCATGCCTGGTAACCACAATCAACCACTAATATTGCCAAAAAAAGGTACTGTCTGATCAACTTTGAAAACGTTATCTCATTTCTCTTACTTTTGAACTCACAATTCATCTGTAATTGCTAGCCTGAAACAGCTTGAAAACTAAAACAACAATCCATATTTAATCCTTTACAAACATTCCCGGTACTGAAAGCATTGCTGGATTATAGAGCACTGCACTCGCTATAGAGTAAAATCAAATACATGTAGAACATCCATTCACTTAATAATCACAATTCACAGGAATCCGGCAACCAAGAATCCAGTAGCATTGCTAATTCTACAAGTGAGACCTTGCAAAGCAAAACAAAAACAGAGATGCTACCAAACTTAGCGAGTCATCTGCAAGTCTGCCCATAATTGTGATATGCTTCCATTATATATTCAATAAAGAAAACTTCCATAGTTCTTTAAAAAAAATTACACAAATAGAACTCAAATAAATGTTTCATTAGCTATGCAAAATAAAGAAATATTTGCAGAATACACCTGGATGCGATGTTAATTCTTGCACTAAGAACAGACACTTTAGCATGTGTCAGTGAAATGCAAGAAAAATTTGGTGACTGAATTGCCACTGTTAACAGACTCAGACTAACAGGCTAATCAAAGCCAGATGAGGCTCAATCAGTCAAGGAAAATTGGAAAAGAAATAGACAAAAACTTAAATCACTTAGCTGAGGACCAACAGTTTGAAATCAACAGCAGAATTGAGGCTCGTGAGAATATTTTGCCTACATCCAAATCACCTGACAGTTTGACCAAATCCTCGTGGACGATCTATAATCAACTTAAAGCAGATGTATTTAGACCTTGACAAGACAAGCTGCAAGAGAATGTAGCATAGATAAGCTAACATACCATATTACAAGAGGACTGAAACCCTATGGAAAAGGAGAGATGAATGCAATAATAGCAACATCGTTTTACTCCTCCTAAGTCTTGCAGTACAACAAGAAAAAAATATGAGCTGCGTTCCATGCACTTATGACACACAAAAGAAGCTACAAGATACTGGTTATGGACAATTTCCTCAATATGAGAAAAGGGAAAAGAAAAAAGAAACATAAAATGCACTAACAGATTAAGAAAGATATAGAGATGGACAGGCCATAAGCATCTGTTAGCAGTTTAGCCTCTGAAAGAAGAATTGCTCTTATTGCCAAATAAGAGCAAGCAAAACACAAAAACCAATGAACAAAAGCAGCCTCTTCAGATAATAGTCTTGCTGTCCTTGACCTTGGTGCTGACGAAATACATGTGGACGGCCACCATGAAATGAATTAAACCCATAAGGAAAGCCAGCAGCCGGACCATACATGGCAGCATCAGGAAATCCATGCACTTGAAGGTTAAAAAGTGAAGGGATAAGACCACCAAAAGCTGCAGAAAATGTGAAATTCCCAAACCTACCAGTTGCCATTGGTGCAAAAGCTCCCAATCCTCCCATAAATCCAAATCCATGTTGGCCAAAATGATTTGGTTCTGGAGGAGGAGCAGTTTCAGGTCGCTGCCCTGCAGGACGGTTAGGAATATTAACACCAGGAATGGACTTTGATCTTGGGTCAGTCGACGTTTTCCCTCTACCATACAAAGGAACCAACTTCTCCTCTTCCACTAGAGCCTTGCAAACTGGACATTCCCGGGATTTCGAGTGAAAGTGAAGCCATTTGTAGAGACAAGGCCAACAGAAAAGATGGCCACATAAAGTCACAATCGGATCTTGAGCTAAGTCAAAGCAAATATTGCATTCAAAGTTACCAGCATCACCATTTCCATTGCTGCTAGTAAATGAAGGGTTTTGAGGAGCCCCACTAGTTGATTCCCCAAACCCACTTGCCATCTATCAAAACCCAGCCAAGTCCCTATAAATCACATAAAAAAATAAAAACATTAATCAACACCCAGCAGCCATAATAACAGAACTGTTTTCCCAAACTTGAAACCTTAACAGAGCAAAATCACGATGCTGAAGTAAATGAACAAATCGCAATTGGTGAAAGACTCTATTTTTAAACAATCAACGGAGCAAAAATTTAGAAAATGTCAAAGGGTTTTGTTCTCCGGTTTTTTATGCAATTTTAATTTTACTATGGCGTCATTTTGAATTAACCAGACAGCAAGTTAAATACAATTCAAGCCTCCAGATTAGAATCAGGACAGGGCAATAGGACTAATAAATTCAAACACCAAATCCTCATATCTCTCTCTTAAAAATAATAATTCCGGGTCACGATAAACAACATCTAGATAGAGACTAATGCTATAATTCTAGAAGATCAATACATTCACAAATCAACAGAAGTGCAAATAGGAAAATCCGATTAGAAAAGATTAAGAGACAGAGAGAAATTACTGACCTTTTTGGATATAGATGCGTATCGATTTAGTCAGAATGGAGAATGCCAGAAACTATGAAGAAAAGTCATAAAAGAAATCATTTTGACCGCAAAGGGAAAAAAGAAGCGTGATTTTTCCTTTCAGTTTCCTTTTATTTTACGCTAAAATTTGCCCTTATTTTGACCGCGGTTAATGGTGCATTTCATCCATCTACTTTTAGTTTCATCTTATTTTGTCCTTACATTTTTTCTTTTTAATAATGTCGTTTCCGTCTAACCCTAAGTCACGGTAATTGACAAAAAAATGTAAATAATTAATAAAAAAACTAAAATAAATAAAACATTTACTATTTACTTGCTATTCGCCCACACTCATAAGTATTATTTGCTTAATATTATTATATTTTTGTGTTTTTTTTATCTTTCTTTAAGCATTTGGTATGATATTTATGTATTTTTTTAGCTTTTATTTGAGATGTCCGAAATGCAAGTTTATTGCACTTTAATTCTTAATTTTTTCAAAAACATTTCTGTTGGACCAACAGCATAATTCACTTGCTTTGCACAATCCGGAGAATAACCCGAACAACCAACTAGTTACATATTAAATAATAAGTTGAAGGTTTGGTATGCATACTAAACACTAAACATTTACCTTTTTTATATAAAAATATATTTTAAAAACAATAAAAATTATGTTTAAAAATAAAAAATTTACTATAAATTTTTAAATTTTAATGCAGTATTTTTTACATTAATTGTTGTTTTATTTTTTTCCATTCAATCTTATGAAAAAAAATATTAAATTTATAAATGTTTTTTTTTTCAATTTGCAATTAATTAAAATTTTATATCTAGATTATTATAAATTTTTATTTAAAAATGCATGCATAAAGAAAAACGAATAATCTTTTTAAGAAGGCTATTAAAATAATATAAGAAAGAATTAATTAAGTACAAAAATTTTAATTAAAAAATCATAAAGTTAGGTAAAATAAAATTTTCTTTGATTTCGATATATTTAATTAAACTCGTGGCATGAAGAGAATTATTGAATTAAAATATTTGTTTCAAATGATTTCATTTATTCTACACTACCTGCAGCATGGTTCCAATAAACAGCTAGTTGCAGGATAATATTAGGACAAAAAACGTATCAGGACATAACCAAGACGAAATGGAGAGCAGGTGGACCAAATATACCTTTTAACCCTTCAGAATCCGCGCGGAGGTGTTAGGTGTTTGGTTACTGTAGAGTTTCTTATCTGAACCGTTGGATGCACGGGTGCTTTGACGATTGGTTTTGACGGTTAGGAATTGACTTTTGAAGCCAATTGACGCGGTGCATGTGTTTCCGCGTTTTGGAATAAAATACTGGGGTCAAGTTTTGAAGAAGCGAGGCTAAGTCGTGTTCGACTAACATTAGCAAACTGCCATCCTAAGTGTTTTTTACAGCTCTCATGGTAGTCGGTAAAGCTATTGCCAAACTGTTCTGTTCTTTTTTCCTTTTCCCTTCTCCAGAAGTGTGATTCACGAAAAAAATGTATTCCTTGAATTTATTTGCACTCCATGGAATAATACCTGAAAATGTACACGTGAATGCTTTGTTTGTAATTTCACGAAAAAATTGCCAAACCAAAAAAATCATGGACGCAATGGGTGACAGTTAATTTGGGAAATGAATATGAAAAACGAGGCACCTTTTTTATTCATGCGTGAGTTGTAAGGTACAGAGAAACATCAATAAGATAGTATCGTAGTCCATCCATCACATTCAAAATCAATAAGTTAAATATACACGTCTTTTTTGGTAGAATAAGATAATGTGCGCGTTAATGCATCATCAATCACATTCGCTTAAATTGCATCCTTTTGTAAACATAGAAAAATAAAATCATGCTGCCTATGTGGCTTTCCCCTTCTCCATGCAGGTGATTTGCCCTCATGGTGTTCAATCAAATCTAGGTTAACAAAAAAAATTAAAAAGTGACTAAGACTTGGATTTTTCACCTTTTTTTTTATTTGGAAGTCTCAACTACAAATTGTAGCCTTGTAGGAGATGTGGAGGGGAGGCTAGGCATAAGGAAAGGATACACAAGGCATCATGTAACCCAAGTCCCTCGCTTGGAACGAGTAATAATTAGTTTTTGATTTTTTTGTATTTTTTTTTCTTAGAATAGCTGGTAAGATAGTGTTGAGTAAATTATAAATTAATTCCTTTAATTTTGTACAATAAATTAAATAGTTTTTTTTTTTTTTTTTTGCTTTAAAAACTAATTAATCGGTCTCTTAACGAGTGTTGATTATAGTTAGTTTATTATTATTTTGTTTCAAAACATATTTTCTTTTCTCATCAATTTTTTTCCTTTTCTATTATTAAAATAAAAAAATAATGAAAAAAATTATGTTACGAATAGACTTTAAAATATAGGGAATAATTGATTAATTGTTAAAACTAATTGAAGAACAAGAAGCACTAATTTGTAATTTACTTGATAATCTTAAATAACTATCAATTGATCAATCGGAAGGAAGGTGATGTTATAGCTGCTGGAGTGATAATTTCAAATATGATTTCATATTCCAAAAAATAGCTCAAATTCTATTAGTCACAGCTTAAACTGGGATTTATTTTAGAGTTTTTTTTTTGTAAAAAAAAAAATTATTTCAATAGCACCCTAAATCATTGGTCAAATGGAGACTAGTAATCGAACGTCAATTTTTTTCAATTTGGGTATCAAAATTATTTTTTAATTTATAATCAAAATAATTAATCTCGTTAATTAACATCCGAGTATGCGTGATAGAAATGTGATGGTGAAGCGACTAAAAAAATCTAACCTAGATTAAATTGTCAAACCCAAACACATCTAAAATATTTAAAAAATCTAAAATCTAAAATCTTTGCCATAATAAAACAACTATTTAAAAAGAAAAGAATATTGTCAGTCAAGAATTCTTTTATTATGATGTTATTTTTTGTCTAATTTCAATTAAGATCTTTTTTTTCCTAACGAATCAAAATATCTGCCCAATCTTTTCCCTAACTTCAATAAAGATTTTTTTTTCTTTTCTAACAATTCCAAAATTTTTGTCCCATTTCCTCCCTAATTTCAATAAAGATTTTTTTTTTTCTTTTCCTAACAAATCTAAAAATTTTGCCTGAAAAAAACAAGGAGAAAAGTAGGGGACAAAGTTGGTTTTTTGTTTTTTTATTGGAGGAGAAAGTGCTTCAACGTTCTTTGACAATGACCGGTATTGGATTTTTGTATTGTTTGATCAGAGAAAGTGACTATAAGAATTGTAGTGGCTGGTGTTGAGTCTTGATCAGAGATGAGGGATAGAAATAAGAGTTGTGGCTGGTGTTGGGTTTGATTGGAGGAGAAAGATATTTGTGTTTGTTATTGGATTTAATTAGAGGAGAGGGATTAATCTCGACGTTATTTGGCCAAAGAAGACGGTGGCTATAAGGAATGTAGTGGCTAGTGTTGGATCTTAATCAGAAAAGAGGGATTGCAGAGAGAGCTGTTGCTAGTGTTGGATTTGATCGAATGAAAGGGATGGGTTTGATCGGAGGAGAGGAATTGTTGTGGCAAAAGGGTTTGAGAAAATAATGGTTATAGTTGGTGTTGAGTTTGATCAGGGAGAGGAATGATTGTGGCATGAAGGTTTGAGAAGATATTGGTTGTGTTTGGAAGGGATAACTTATTTTTTTTATCTCAATTTTGTTTTAATTTAAGAGTAAAGGTAATTTATAATTTTACTTTAGTTAATTAGTCAGAAAAAAATAACCAGCTAAAATAATAGATATATGTGTTTTTTATTTATTGAGTCATGTCATAATCGTATGCAAAAAGTGTATTCAGTTATTGATCAACATGATCGTTCAAATCGATTACAAACAAAAAAATAATTTTGGTAAAAAAATTGAATTTCGAATGTCAGTTTTGTTTGACCAATAATACAAAATAATATCCAACCAATTAACAATTTTTTTTTCATTACAGTTTGAATGGATCATATAAACACAGATCACAATTACCAACTACGATCCATAATAAATCTTCCACGGTCATTGTACATTATCGGCGCACATGGCACTGTTTGTATGATAAAAGAGTAAGGATTCGTTTGACAAAATTGATGTTATAATTATATATAAAAAAAACATTCGATAATATATGTTGTTAAAATGCTTTTATGTATCATGAGATTTAAAATTTTTTGTAGGTTTTGACTTTTAGCTTTTAAATAACTTTCAACATATTTTTTAAATTTTTTATTAAAATTCATTTTCAAAGGCTTTTGGACAAAAAAAAAAAAAACAGATTTCTCAATCAGTCGCTATATCAATTATATGCAAGTCGATATCAGGTAGCATGAAAAGAATCAAAATCACCTTTGTGATCTGGGGAAAAAAAAAAAAAGGGCTTATTTTATTGAAGCGTCTTGCACCACACGAATCAGAAGGAATTTTAACTTAAGTCAATCATCAATTTATTGGATTATAGTTTTTAAATTGTGATCGTGGTGAAATAAGTCAATTCTGTCACACTCTAATTAACTTTATAATAGATCAAGACTATTTTTCTAATGATAAAATAAAACTATATTTTTTTTTATTTACCGAGTCTTAAGCTCCATAAATATTATTTTAAACTCGCTGGAGTTCTTATACAATCAATCAGATGCTTATTTAATAATACAGGTTTAAAATAAGGTTCCATAATAATATATTTAAGAGAAACAAAGAGACATCCATCACTATAAATTCAAATCTTGATGACCCCAGATCATGTAAGTAATTGAAAGAAGTTTGTGTTAAGAAATCTCATAACGCTATATTTTTTTGGGGAGGTCATCACTATATATTATACGCCAACGAGTGATCAATTTCCATATTTCAGTAGCGGAAGTCCAAATATCTGTCACCGTAGTTCCGTCTTCATCTTCTATTCTCTCATTGCCCGTAATAATATATACAGCTCAACAGAGTTGTTTTCTTCTTTCTCCATTTCCATTTTTGACCTGTCTGGCTGTCTCTAACATTACCAAGAAAATTCTCAGCTTGAAAAAGACATAACTTTCCTGTCATCAGATTCGCAATTTTCCTGGGTTTATAAGACCATAAGTTTTCCTGTCATCAGATTGACGGTTCCCTAGGATTTATCTATAAACATGACACTATCTATAATAGAGAGCACCAAATATTGGCTATCAGAGCACCCGTCAATTGTAAACTTCCGATGGAGCTCCACTCAATCATGGGGTTCCACTTGGTCTTTTCTCCTCTCCGCCATCGCTATCTACATCCTTGTCGCCGCCGCCCTCCACCTTATTCTCTCCCTAATTCTCCGTCGTAACCGCCGTGTTCCGCTTGGCCCAATCCCTGCAATACACAGCCTAGCAACGGCGATGGTATCGGTTGTGATTTTTGTTGGCATTCTTCTCTCTACTGCTGCCGAGATTCGTGACACGCGCTGGTTCTGGCGGCGTACCAAGACCACCACCGCTTTCCAGTGGCTCCTCTGCTTCCCTCTCGGCACCCGCCCCTCTGGCCGCGTCTTCTTCTGGTCCTACATTTTCTACCTTTCTCGATTCCTTCATTTATTCCGTACATTTTTTACAATCCTTAAACACCGTAAACTAACATTCTTTACGTTGTTCAATCAATCCATACTTTTGTTTATGTCATTTCTTTGGCTTGAATTTTCTCAGTCTTTTCAAGTTCTGGCTATTCTTTTAACAACGTTGTTGTATTCTGTTGTTTATGGGTACCGGTTTTGGACAGCAATTGGGCTGCCAACTGCTTGTTTCCCTTTTGTAGTGAATTGTCAGGTTGTGTTACTGGGGTGCAATTTGATTTGCCATTTTGGGGTGCTTTTGTTGCATATATTGAAAGGAGGGTGCAATGGAATTGGAGCTTGGGGATTTAATTCTATGTTGAATGCTGTGATTTTGTTATTGTTTTTGAAGTTTTACTGGAAAATGTATTCGAAGAAGAAGAGAAAGGGCGACTGTTCCAGTGATTTTGAGGGTTCTTCAAGGCAATTGCATTCTGATAAGGATTGAGAGTAATGATTCTCCCTTGAGCTCAGTTTTTGGTTTTTTCGTTTTTTATTTTAAATGATTTTTCTTGTTTCAATTTTTGAGTTATTACCAAAGATCTTATAATTCAGTTATAGTGACCTCTTACAATAAGAGGTCTTGGATTTAAATATTAACAGATTAATTCTATTAAGAATTTTGAATATGTAAGTTAAAAAAATTCGAGTTATTGCTCATTTGTTAGGTGAACATTTAGACAAAACAGTAATTATGTATAGTTTTAAATTATACATGATCAGATTTGTGTTAGATATCGTATAATTAATGCATGTTGAGAGGAGGGTGTGAATACCAGTTAAATTATATCCTCCGTGTTAATTAGAGGTTCAAAGAAATTGGGTAAGCAGTGATTCGAGCAAGGTCAGCAATTTCAATTTGTCGGCCATGGAAAAAGCAAGACCTTTTCACTCGATCTCATCTGCATGTTCTTTTTTATTGGATGGCAATGCCCCTTTCTTTATTCAATCCCTTGCGCAGGTCACCAGCCTACAAGATCATGTATGATTTCCAATTGAAGGGAAGCTTCTTATATCCAAGACACGTTCAAAGTCCAACTTCGAATTTGCCAAAAAGAACTATTTCGTAACGGCCTCGACGACGGAGAAAAAGAAACTAGAAACTAAAAGTGAGGAATGGCTAGTATGCACGTGTGCGTAGAGCACCCACGTTTTAGCCTTTGATTATGTTAAAACTTCCTTTTTTATTGATATTAATACACATTCTTTTGGTTTTGAAATGGAGTTGAAAAGACTGAAACCCACTGTTCATACAATCATTACTTGAAAAATAAACAATTATGAGGTATCAATTAAAAACATTGCAAAGCCGTAGTTGTATGATTCCACGTCAAATGTATACGTGAATTTTTTTTTTTTAATTTAGAATCACATAAAATAAATAAAAAAACGAGGAAGCAATACATACATCATTATTTAATTTGATAAGGTAACTTGCATTATGTTTGGGAGAGGTCAGACAAGAAAGTAGAGCAGGAGAGTTCAGAATTTTTTCTTGTTTGGAAATACCGGGGAAAGGTGATAAAAAATAAAAAATAGGAGGAAAATGCCTGCTTTGGACCCATCATTTTGTTGGCTTCAGAAATGGAGAAAATCATTTACGTATATGTTAATTAACTTACAGGCCGCATCTAGTACATCAAAGGATAGGTTGTACAGTCATACTTGCGCAAAGGGTATAAGGGTAACATGCAATTTAGTTACAATTAGAATTTTTCTCCAAGATAAAATATATAAAATCATTTAAAAAAATTATTTCAATTTAATAGTCTATTTTATAACTTGAATTTATAAAAATATATGAAATCAAAGGTAAAAAAATATTTATAATTTTTTAATTAAAAAAATTATATTTAACTATTTCTTATTTGTGTTTTTCATAATTTTTTCTTTACAAAAAGAATTTATGTTTGTTAATCCATAGACTATTAACTAAAAGAAAAATTAAATAATTAAAAAAAAAGCTTTAGTATTTCATAAGATTGTGTCGAAAAACAAAAATAACAATCGCTAAAAACTTACATAAAATTGAATAAATATTTTATTTATTTTTATTTCATGTTGATGAGAATATTGATTTTTTTTAAAAAAAATATTAATTTAATTTTTATATAGTTATTTACAAAAGAATGAATAATATTAAAAGAAATCAAAATTGTCGAGTAAATATAGTTTTAAATTAATTGGATGAGAATTTAAAAGAAATGATAAATTAAAGTAGTAATTTTAAATAGTAAAAATAATTAACAAAAAATACTAAAACAAAATGAGACCAAATCACAAGTACAATTAAAGTTTGAAATTAAAAATATATATATATGTATAGAAAACTTGAGGACCATATAATTTTAAATTAATTGAATGAGAATTTTTTTTTTAAAAAAAAGAAAAATTAAATAAAATTAAATAAAAAAATTTATAAAGCTTTAGTATTTCATAAGATTGTGTTGAAAAAAATTATTAAAAGTTCACGCAGAATTGAACAAATAATTTTTTTATGTTTATTTAATGTTTATCATAATATCGATTTTTGAAAAAAAAATATGAATTTAATTTTTATATATTTATTTATAAAATAATAAATAATTTAAAATAAATCAAAACTGCCATTAAATGTAATTTTACATTAATTCGATGAGAATTTGAAAAAATTGACAAATTAAAGTTGTAGATTTTAAATAATAAAAATAATCAATAAAAAATATTAAAACAAAATGGGACCAAATCATAGTACAATTAAAGTTTGAAATTAACAAAAAAATTGCATAGAAAGTTGGAGGACCATATAATTTTAAATTAATTGGATGAGAATTTTTTTTTTAAATGACAATTAAAGTAGTAAATTTTAAATAATAAAAATAATTTAAAAAAATAAAACAAAATGAAATCAAATCACAATACAATTAAATGTTGAAATTAAAAAAAATTAAAAAAAATTGAGGATAAAAGTATTAAAAAAAACCATGACTAGTGAAAAAAATAGTGATATATGAATAGTGAAATGTGAGTGTGTTTAGAACAATAATCGGGTGTTTTGTTTTAGTTTGTTTTACAATGGTCTTTCTCTTTTGTTTACCTACAAATCACTTCCTTCTCATTTTATTTATTTTCATCTTCAATCATTTACTTACAAGGATCTTTCTCTTGTATAGTTGTATCATTCTCTTATTTATTTATGGTTGAAAGGATCTAACTATCCCTAAACTATAAGTTATTTGAAATTGAATCTTGAAATTTTTTTCATTGGTTCTAAATATCTATGAGCTTTATAAGTTTTGAAATTAAGTCCATCAAAATTTTTCAGTCATCATTTTCTCGTAGAAAAAATTTAATCTATTTTATAGAAAAAATTCAGATTTTTTGAAAATCAAAAACTATATTTATTTATTTATTAAAAATAAATAAATATTAAATAAGTATGAAATTATCTTGAATTTTTTTAGAATTCCCACATAAATTTCACCAAATGATTTTCATCATGAAAATATTTACATGACTCGTTATTATTTAAAATAAATAATAGAAAACTAAAAATTAGGTTTAATCTCAAAAATTTAAAAATTCAAGGATTTCCAGAACCAATAAAAAAAAAATTGAAACTCAATTTCAAATAACTTATAATCCATGAATTGTTTGATCTTTTTTAGTTTTTACTAGTTGGATACCCGCGCTACGCCGCGGGTAGACAACTCGTTACATACGTATAGTTAACAATTAGTATGATGTAATACTAATAAAAAATTTATTTTTGGTCATTGATATAAATTAAATCTATATATAGTTAATTTCTAACCAATACACACATAAACACACACATAATAGATTAAGAGTATAGAATAAATAGAAATATAGACAAAAAAATCCACTTAAATTATGGAAATATATCAAAGTCAATAGGTTAAAATAAAAACTATAACAAAATTGGTTCTGATAAATTATGAATAAATATATATATATAAAAAATAAAACTTGTGAATTTTTTAACTCGCTATTATTTAAAAAAAAAAATTGAGTCAAACTATTTAAAACATACTTTTAGCCTTCTCTCTCTCTCTCTCTCTCTCTCTCTCTCTCTCTCTCTCTCTCTCTCTATATATATATATATATATATATATATATATATATATATATATATAACACTCATTTGAAAATATAAAAATAATTTGTTGTATAAATTATAATAATATATTTTTTTAAAACAAGACATTAACGTTCTAAAATTTTATTTCAAAATTCATATATTAAAAAATTAAATTTATTAACAAATAAAATCATATCAAAAAATTATCAACCATTACAAATTTACAATAAAACCAAAAATTAAAAATGTTTCAAAGTGGCCATTGTAACCTAAAGATACGTTTGTAAATCATGAGCCATATATATATATATATATATATATATAGGAAGAAAAAAAAAACAAGAAGGCTTGGCACGTGCGTGCCAATAGCCGAGCCTTGGCTACTAGTTAACCCGGGAGGAAAAAAAAAACAAAATAAGAAAACAAAAAACTCGGGGTTCTATTCATTTACTATTCAATATACGCCAGCTTTTTTTAGTTTTATATATTATACTTAGCAGATTTATAATATATAAAATAAATAAATATAAAATATAAAAAAATTCACCTAAATCGCATGAAATATATCGAAGTAAATAGATTTAAATAAAAGCTACTATAAATTTGGTTTTGATGAATTCTAATTATATATATATAACTACATAAAATCTATGAATTTTTTAATCGATTATTCTTTTTTTTAAATGATCCACTTAAAAATAAGACTCGCAGTATATAAAATAAATAAAAAATATAAAAAAACCCACTTAAATTGTATGGAATATATCAAAATGAATAAATTTAAATAAAAAACTACTAAAAATATGTTTTCATAAAGTTTGATTATATATATATATAACCAAATAAAACCCGTGAATTTTTTAACTAATTATTAATTAAAAAAAAAACCAAGCCAAATTATCTTTTTAAATAATAATTATTTTTTAAAAAAATTAAGATTATTTTTTTTAAAAAAAATTACGTTAAATTATCCGAAACACATTTTTAGCTCTCTTTCTCATCATAATTTATATATGCAACAATGCCATTTTCATTGAAAATTATAAAAATAATCAATCGTATAAATTATAATAATATATTTTAAAAAATAAAGCAATCATTTTCTAAAATTTTATTTCAAAAGCCATATATAAAAAATTAAAATTTATTAACAAATAAAATGATATAAAATTTAAAAATTAATTCGATGAGAATTTTTATAAGAAACAAACAATTGAAGAAATAAATTTTAAATAATATAATCATATATAGATGTTCAAATTAAAATTTTTAAAAACATTATATATATTCTATTATCGTCAAACCGTAAGTAAAATAACGATTTTTTAAAATATTTTTTACACCTAATTGTATGATAAAAAATATAA